CCAGTTCTCAACTTATCACTCTCCGGAAAACTTTAGGTAAGCCTCTCATGCGTCTTATGCATCGCAAGGACCTCAGCGTAACACCCGAGTGACCACCCATACTAACATGCCATTTCCCAGGAACCCCGACGTATTCGTGCCCGAACGCTGGCTGGGCGATCCCGAGTACAAGGACGACAACCGCAGCGCACACCAGCCATTCTCCGTCGGCACCAGAAACTGCCTCGGCATGAACCTGGCCTGGCACGAGATGAGGCTGATGCTCGCCAAACTGGTGTACGAATTCGAAATCGGATCGGATGCTGGCCCTGACTGGGTCGACCAGGACGTTTACGTCGTCTGGGACCGCAAGCCTTTGGTCTGCCGCTTCCAGGATGCTCTGCGAAGAGAATATATTATTCCAAGCCTCGCCGAGAATATCTAAGATGCAGGACATCAACCTTCCTCCCCTCCCACCTACTACCCTCCAACCGCCTGTAGGAATACGCCGGTTCGTTCCTTCGGCTAAGCAGTCGCTACATATTTCACATTTCATATAGTAGGTCGTGGTCGTTTATACTTTTAGTCCCGGTTGGGACTTTCACACGTTTCTTTGCGTCGTTTATATCTTCTGTTCTTGTCATTGTTATCTTCCATTCATTGATTTTTTGGAGTCTACTGTACACTATTGCTTACCATGACTCATGCTGGGTGTCTGGTCCCTATTTCTTGTACCATATATATGGTTATGTTGAAGTTGAAGGCCGCGAATTTCAATGAGGTCGTGGCAGAAATGACAAATGATAACTGAAAACAATTCAATGTCATACCTTGCTAAGAACTCAGCCCCCCATCCACCCTATCTTCAATGAGTTGGTCAAGATAATATTGAAATGTGACTAGTTGGGGCAGTCGTAGGGGTGTGTCAAACTTCCTGGCTCTGTATTCAAAGGAATCGCTGCCCATATGACTGGCCGAGAAAGTTCGTTTCCCGTAAAACGCTGAGTGGAGTGGTGACCGTCCTAGTTATTAGCCTAAAGCTACGTTTACTCCAGATATCGTCGACCAGACGTTCCACAACCACTCACTTGTATGTATCTCACCTGTTGCGCGATATGCTGCACTGTTCATTATAGGCGGCAAGGTATTACAGTAATTCTTTTGTATTTTGTCTTTGATGTGCTTCCCATGACCTCCCCCCTTTACTCTTGTTCCTTGCAATCTGCCTCAGAAGCACTAGAGACTATCTCATGATACAGCATATCCGTACTCAACAGGCCACGATTGTTGGTTTGTAACACGGTGTGGCACCTGTAACACACCAAAAGGCCGGGGTACGCGACACAAGATATTCAAGGCTCATTCATGCCACCGGCTGATATATGAATTTGTCGAGCTTTTGAAATGCCTCTTCAACATCGTCGTTGGTGATAACGATATCATGAGCCCCAGGCGTATCAGCATATTCAAGCTCAGCTCGAGCCTGCACCAGCCGTCCCTGAATGCTTTCCTCATCGTCTGCCCCCCGCCCTCTCAGCCGTGCTTCCAGGTCCTCGACGCTCGGCGGTTTGACGAAGACGTACCGCGCATCAAATCCGTTGCGTGCCTTCAACTGCTTTACGCCCTGCATCTCGATATCAAACAAGACCACCATGCCCTTTGTGATTTGTTCCACGATAGTCCGTTTGCCTGTGCCGTAGTGATGACCGTTGAAAACCGCATGTTCGATAAATGCTTCCCGGGAGATAAGAGACTCAAACTCAGAGGTCGAGACGAAATGGTAGTGCACGCCATTCACTTCGCCGCTGCGTGGCGCCCGAGTTGTGTGGGAGACGGTCGAAGTGAAAACGTCAGGGTGCGCCTCGAAGAGCTTTCGAATCAGTGTTTCTTTGCCGACGCCCGAGGGTCCGGAAATAACAACAGGCCGGTGATCCTGGGGTGATGTATCCTGAGGTAACGTATCCTGAGGTGGCATCTGCTGAGCTGACATCTCCCGAGCTGACGTATGCTGAGCTGACGTATGCTGAGCTGACGTTTCTTGAGGTGACGTATTCATCGTAGTTCGAATTCGATTCGGCTTGGCGAGTAACTGATATGCTTGGACCCAAATTCTCACCGGAAGAATGGCAGTTACGATGGTATCTTGGTTATTGATCTAGAGCTGGAAGTCCGGATATCTGCATTGAAGTTTGGTGATCAGGATTTCTCTTACAGAGACTACAAACCTGAAAGTTGAAACAGTGCAGACGAAGGCGGTGTGAGTCATTGTGACACAGTTTTGCATGCGGAGTATCAAACACTTTTTTTTCTCTCCATCCCTGGCCAAGCCCTCAGCTTGCTGTGATATCCCTTGGATTAAAAAAATCAACGCAGGCCTAACTTATGACCACATTACTGAAATGTTCTGTTGCAACTTATATAATATTGAGTTTCTCTTGTCAATCGCAATTTGTTTTTCCCTTTCTTTCAATATTATGCATTTACGAACAGATTCCTGCTTTTGGCCGTGGAGTGCTCTATTTGATTGCTCTTATAGCTCTCAGTCGGCTGTATTGTAGGGGAATCACGATCACGATGGGTTTACGGATGCTCATTGCATGTATTCACACTCCGTTGTGCTATCAGACTAAACGACTCGAGTAGATCAATGTGGATGACGATGTCTGCTAATGTATTGCTGTTCTGCCTTGTGACATATCTTAGCACATCCTGCCGTGCCTCCAAACACTTCTTCTTTAGTCGAAGCACTTCGTTATCATTTGTATCATGGTGCATCAATAAGTGAGACATATTGAGCCTTACAAATGTTACCCTTATCCACCGCCCATATGTACCACTTATCCGAGAACCAATCACCCTCTATCTCAGCAACAGGGATGAACAAACGACCGAGACTTCTAAGTTGTCGAACAAGCTCATCGTGTAGTCGAACGGCTGCGGCCCCTACGTGTATAACGTCACAACCATCATCATCCGGCAGAGAGCCCCCAATTGTGTCCAACTCCGACCATCCTTGCCGTCCATCCCCGAGACAGAAACGAACACGTTTCGAAGCGAGTAGCGCAGCGCCACCAGCGGACTTGCGCATGTTTGCTTCGCCAAAAGTCCGTAGGTCTTCGATGTGTTCGACGCCAACAACGACACTCGTCTCACCAGCGAGCTCGGCAAAGACGTGAACCAGGAAGCCGCTACCACTACCTATATCCAAGATTCCCCGTGTACGACCTCTGATACCAATAGTTTCTTCCTCGCTGCTGATATGCTGCTCGCTGTGAGGTAGCAGATACGGCAGTAGCAATTCGACCGCTTTAGCATGCATATGAGGGGCACTTATTGTACTCTGGTAACCAAGAATCTGGAGGCTGTCCTCATATGCGTTTCTCGGCGCATAATGTCCACGATCCGCTTAAAGAAATGCTGATCGAATGACTGGTCGAGTGACGTGCTTCTGCCTGCACAGATAGTTGACAATGGATTTGTTGGAATCCATGATATTGGATTGAGGCGTTAATGTCGTGTTTAATTTTTCCGCAGTGTCAACAGCCATGATGGATTTAGAAATGTTTTTAACAAGAAAGACAGGTTCGGAGAATTTGGGATCGAAGAAATCTACGAAGGGTAACACCTTCTTTGAATCGCTAGACAACATTGATCAAACCAGGCCGTGATAACAGTCAACTGAAATCCTATGCCGACGACAGAAGGGGGCTTTGGAGATGTAACGGGACGGTCAGAATCTACGTGTGTTATTTCCCGTCACTGGGGTGGCACCGGGCATCATAGTAATTAAACAACACACCCCGGGCCAATGCCCAATTATCGAGATGATGGGCCCGCCCTCGGACTTTGGGTTCGAGGACCTCAGGGATATAATCCAACCTGCTGTGGCCCCTAAGCGATTGCTTTATTTCTTTACACATCGGGGGCTGGTTCGCTGTTCTCGGTAAAGACTACAGCATATATAGATAACAATTATCTTGCCAAAGGTTACCCGTTCCTTCGACAACTCTCAACGCAGCTTCGACAAAAGTCACTGTCTTAAGATTTTGTTTGGCAAAGTAATCTTCATGAACCAACATTTGAAGAACAAACCTGCTTATTCGTCGTCGGATCCCAGAAAAACACGAACATAACTGAATTCATATCCAAGCCTATACCTGACTAGTTTTCCTCATTACCATATCAGAGAGTAAGCGTACATTACAAATTCCCTGCGGTGCCAATACTTATCAAACCTCTAATGTCCAGATATGTGCAAGCTGGTTTACGAAGTATGCTCCCAATGCGGCGCGGCGCTGGAAGTGGCGACCATCCTACCCTGTAATACAATCGGTTTTTGTGACGAACCCGTTCGTGAACCTTATACCTGTGGAAATTTGTGCGAAACATGCCGTTCAGCATCTAAATAAGGCATTGGTTGGGTATTGGTCACCGAGTACTTGGATCGGTGTGTTCTTTTGTACACGAGAATTATGCTAGCCCTGAAGAGAGAACTTATTGCCGCGGAACCGAGCTGCAGCGCTATACGGATACTCTGTAAGCAAAAGTAGGACATTTCAAGCCGGACGCTTAACTTTCTACGGTTTCTTTATACGGTACTGTGACACTGATTTGCTTTAATCGAATGAATACTTATCATGAGCATCGCCTTTATTGATCTTATGTTAGACTTTCGTAACTTTTTACTGCTGGATTATAAGGCGGTTTTCTAACTGCAAAACATCTGCACGATCGCAGAGCTCTTGGCGAGGACCATTTTAAAAGGATTTCGGGTTTCATTAGATTATAAGATGTGATGGTTTAAACCGCCGACTTTATTAAATCGGGTAGTAGTATGTGGTTATTGGTAGTTGTGTAGGATTGATCTGCAGAGCTGGCTAAACAAAATAGCGCTAAATAGTTTATCTTTTTTTTTATAATTAAAGTTATTTATAACAATGAAAGAGTATGTTAATGCTGTGTTTTACAGTAAAAACTTTTATGCGCATGATATAAACAATAATAAGAAAGTTAAAAAAAAGTTGTTGCGACGGGACTCGAACCCGTACCTCCCTAGTACACAGTTCACGACCGGCGTTCAGGCGTGCTAATTGCCATTACACTACACAACAATCTAATGGTTGATTACCTGTGTGTTTTTAAATACTGCTGCCTGCCCTATCCCTGACTCCTCGTTACGCGGTTTTACTATCTAATACGGGGCTTCCCGGGTAATTCTGGCCTATTGCGGCGTGTTACGCCATCTCGGATCTTGTTTTATATTCTTGTTACTTTCTGCGAGCTCTCCGCTTTATTAAGCAAGGTGAAGAGGCCGCGCTGTCCACCGAAGGTCGGCCTGAGCGCCGGATCAACAACGTCTTCCCCGAAAGGAGCCGCGGCCGGACATTTTGGCGTGTCAGCCGAAATACGGGCAGCAGAAGCTGAAATAGGAACCGCTGTTTCCTGGAGAGGCCAACGGGAGTGTTGCGGCGGAGAGCACGGGAATCTAGTATGTTATAAGGGGTCACAGCTGTCGCCACTATCTTGGCCTGGCTCGGGTCTAGGATCAACTCGTTATAATAGCTACTTAAAAGGTGTGGAGGATCTGGATAAGATAGGGAAACCAAACTTGAGGAGATGTCTGCTGAGAGCGTGGGTCCATGTCGTGAACACTAACTTAAGAGGCAGCATATTTTGATAGCTACGACTGAACGTGTCCTGATCGGCCGTGGGCTTTATAAACGAATCAGGGTCGTCTGGGATAAATGGAGGATACGTTTATATTCCGTTCTTGACGGGCCAATGGGGATCGCTCGAGATGGTGACGATGCGCGTTGCGCACAGCATCTCCGCAACTACTCAGTGGAGGGAGCGGCGGGGCTGTTTGCGAAATGTGATTGACCTCAGGAGTCTTATCAAATCTGCCCAGTGTAACTTTCAGAGTCGCCAATCACCGGGGTATCCGACCTGATAGATCATCATGTTGTAAACATCATGCAGCTTTTCGCTACCCCTTAATAACTTCGTCTTTGTCTCTATCAATACTAAGTTTTTTAAGAGATTTAGCTCGCTCCCACATATTTCTATCTCTGGGAGTTAGCAAGTATGCTCGTTATCTCAGAATAATTAGCTAGCACCATTGCGTTCACGGGCTAACAGCTCCCTCTCATAACCCGCAGTAGACTACGAAGTATCGCCTCCAAAAACATAGCGGCAACACTGCGACTCTGACAGTGAGATAAGGCTTTGGAAAAGTTCAGTCAGGTTTAAACAATTTCAGGTATACTTCTAAGCAATACTTAACCCGTTGCGTTATCATCATATTAAAAAAATAGTAGATAAATTATCAAAGAAAATGTATAGCTGATGGGTTAATAAGTGAATGTTTTTATTTAAAACCGAAGGTCATCATGCCCTGCTTGGTTTTAAAATTACCAATTGCTTGCTGATATTTGTTGAGGGCGAGTAGTTGAAGTAGACAACTGTTGTCAAGTTAGCTTCGGAGAATTACGTAGGTCGCAAGGAGATTATCCTTGACAGCCTCAACGAAAAGGTGGGTTGTCTAACCGGATTGATGAGTCCAGCTTCCCTGTAATTACTTGCTTTAGTTAGACAGAAACCGATTAGTAATCTCACAGTTTAGTCTTTTCCATGCATCTATCGTGACTCATTCCGACATGTCTAGGTACCCCAACAACTTAAACCCCAACAGAGACCTGGCTCTGTGATGTGCGCCAAGTTAGCCTCCGTTATGTAGAGGTTATGTACATGCGCGGGCGCGTACTCGAACTCTGATATTTGTGTACAGCAACAATATGTAGCATCCGCCCTCGGGTGCCCCCCACCTGCGATATTTTATCCGTTAATATGGATGTCGCTAAGCCAGTAGGGATGCGCGAATTACGAAGCTAGCCGAGGTGGTGCGTAATAGCGAACAGTCCTCTACCGGGAGGGGAAACGTCCTTTGGCGATACGGCATCATCAAACGGCCATGAGACGCTTCAGCACGCCGAGGGCCCTTCGAAGCCGGGGCGGCTCCGGGCTCAGCGCTTCATTCCTGCAACAACAAAGGCGCGCCTCGACATTCGAGCAGGCGGTCTCTGCGGCTTCGCCAAGGACATCATGGACGCGGGAAGAGATCTTGGACATCTACAAGCAGCCGCTCATGGAACTTGCCTCTGCGGCTGGGAGTGTCCATCGGCGATTTCATAAGCCGTCCGCCGTGCAGCTATGCACTCTGATGAACATCAAAACCGGCGGCTGCACCGAGGACTGCTCGTATTGTGCCCAGTCCTCGAGGTACAACACGGGACTCGGGGCTACGAAGCTATCTGCCGTGGATTCGGTTCTCGAGGCCGCGAGGATCGCCAAGGAAAACGGATCCAATCGCTTCTGCATGGGCGCAGCCTGGCGAGATATGAAGGGCCGGAAACGCGGGCTTCAGAATATCATAGAAATGATCAAGGGGGTGAGAGCGCTGGGCATGGAAGCCTGCGTGACCCTGGGCAGTAAGTAGTGTCAAGCCTCGCTTCTCTCCCGCTCTTCTGCCGACTCGGCCGGCAGCGCTTTCGAGTGGGAAAAACTGCTGACTCCTCGTGCTGGAAGTGCTCGACAAGGAGCAGGCTCTGTTACTCAAGGAGGCGGGGTTAACTGCGTACAACCACAATCTCGACACATCGCGAGAGCACTACTCAAACATCATCACGACGAGAAGCTACGACGAGCGGCTGGAGACGATCAAGAACGTGAGGGACGCAGGCATCCACGTCTGTAGCGGTGGTATCCTCGGCCTGGGAGAGGTACCGCAGACTGATCACGTCGGATTGATTCATACTTTGGCCACCCTGCCCGAACACCCCGAGTCATTCCCGGTCAACAAGCTAGTTCCCATCAAGGGCACGCCGATGTTTGGCCAGGAGCCCGTCAAGTTGGAGGACCTCGTCCGCTGCATAGCTACGGCCCGACTCGTGATGCCCGCGACCATCATTCGACTGGCGGCCGGGAGAGTCACGATGCCAGAGAGCGAGCAGATGCTGTGCTTCATGGCCGGTGCAAATGCTATATTCACTGGAGAGAAGATGTTGACTACGGACTGCAACGGCTGGGATGAGGATAAGTCGATGTTTAGCCGATGGGGTCTGGAGCCTCTCCTGACTGACGAGAGCGAGGCCATAGTAGAGAATACGCCAGTGTATCGCGATCGTATCGTCGTGGAGAGCGGCGGCGGCGGGGGCGGTAGAGCTGCTGAGCAACTTCAGGCCCACGGTTGAGACTCATCTATGTCCATTGCTAGTCTAACATATACGCGGGATGGATATGCTTTATATAGGAATATCAGAGCCTGGGCTTTGCGCTTTCCGGCAAGACCGCTTGTATTTGTTGTCCCGTAGCGTCACCCGCCTGACTTTTTATCTTCGTCTCTGCGTTCTGCGTCATCTCCAAGTGACGCAACCATGCCTCAATCGCCCGAGAAAGAGCATCGATCTGCTCGATCGTATTGGTACCGTGAAGACAGATCCGGATTCTATCTTGACCATGGGGAACAGTCGGTGCGACTATGGGGCGAATCATGAACCCAGAAGTTTGGCAGTGTCGAGCAAGGTCTCTCGGATATCTAGTGAACAGAGGAATAATGGGGGAGTTCAATTGCCCCTCAGGAACGCGAAGTGCGGAGGTGGAAGGTCTTAGCCTTTCGTTAATATCCTTTAGTTTAACGTGACAATGTTGGATTAGTATCTTGAGCTGCCGTCGTCGCGCCTCTGCCTTTCCACTTATTAGATAGTCGTACGCAGCATCGATACTGGCTAGTGACGGGAATGACATGGCTGTAGTATATATAAGGGTTCGGGCGTAGTTGATCAGATAGTGGCGCACGACCGAAGAGCAGAGAATAGCACCTGGAGAGACCGAGAGATGTGGTGTTAGCAGTGCCACGTCACGGCCAATGTGTATAGATGCACCAACCTCCAGCACACCCCATTGCCTTGCCGAAGCCTACAACTCGTGCGAATACCCGATCTTCCAAACCGAGTTGGCACACGAGCCCGCGGCCGCCGTCCCCCAAGACGCCGATAGAATGGGCTTCATCGACAATTATGTAGCAGTTTCCTTTGGGAAACAGCGAGTCTATTATGTTAGAGACATACTGCAAGTCCACTATATCCCCGTCCATGCTATAGAGAGCCTCAATACATATGAAGACGTTCGCGCTTCCTGACCTAACTCGTTGATCACCACGTATTAATTGCTTTAACGTCGGCACGAGGTCATCGGGGCCGTCCACGCCAACCGCCCCCGGCTCGGCAGTTCGTTCCCTGACATGTCGAATGACAGAATTATGCCTGAATGGAATTTTTCTAGTAGCACGAGATAACCGCATCCCATCATGAATGCTGGCATGAATTAGGTTGTCATAAAGAATGACATCCCCGGCTCCCGGAACACTGCTGATGAGGCCAACATTAGCGTCGTAAGCTGAATTGAACAACAATGCCGCTTCTGAGGCGTGGAAGTCGGCGATCTTGCGTTCGAGCTGCTCAACGAATACCGAGTTGCCATCCAACAGACGAGAGCCCCCGGACCCGATTAGTCGCCCGTTTGAACCGATGGACGGACTTTTCCGATCCGGGCGACGGAGATACGCCGCTAGAGCGTCGCGCACAACGAAATCTCGCGAGAGTGAAAGATAGTCGTTTGATGAGAAGTCCACGAGGTCTGATCTGGGAACCTCTAAATGCCGCAGTCTGCCTTGAGACTCACGCCGGGCCAATCGCTGCCGGAGAGTTGCCTCCAAGCCACCCATGGGTGCCATGGACCTCATATTATGCCGATATATGTCGAGGCCAAGGTCATGGGCTTGTAGTTGTGAGGCTCAGATCTGGACAAGAAAGGTATCGGCTCCTCGTCCTGGCTGGACGATATGCAGCGCAGACGACCTAGCGGCGGATAATTGCCATTCTCAGGCTGTATGATATTCTCTCATCTACCTATATGCATAACGTTCTGCGGAGTATATTCGGGACTACAAGCTACGATGACTCCATATCTGTTGAGAACACTTGGGTCACACTAGATGATAAAGGTTAGCTTTCACCATTGACGTATCCCACATTCATACTGGGGCAACTGGCGA